TATCATCAGCTAATGACCGCGCCTTCCTACCCTTCAGATTTAATTAACACTCCAAAGAGAAAGAGAGGGCCAAATGTTTGGGTTAATCATCTGTATGACACAGTAAAGTGGTCAGACTTGGCCGGGATCTATTTTTATGATTCTAGAAATACTAAAAATGAGCATACTGTGATTATCCAGCAATGAGGTGAACTGTGATAAATAAAAAAATTTTTTAAGAAGATGTGACATATATACAAATGGGTTCATGGCTGTGCCCTTTTCTGAACAACAATTCTAGTGTACGACTAGAAATGAATTAAGTGTCTGCACTTTATAAATTAATGACAACGTAATGAAAACGAATTTGCGACATGGCTTAATTTGATTCTCAATTCTGCGATTTAATTCAATGAATATATGTGCAACATGTTTTAGAGAGAAATACAGAAATATTATTATTATATTAGCATTTTACAGTTGTACTATAAAATTGTACTATTTTAATTCTCTTAAATACTGTTTTTTTATTTTATATTGAAATATTACAAAAGTAATATTTCTTATTTTGTGTCTTATTTTATAGCAGTAACTGTAATTCAGTGCTGCAACAAAGAATATACGATGCCTTTAAAAGCAACAGGCAAACAAATGATGAACATTCATTTAATAGCAGCTTGTTTAGTAACAGTAGGTGAGCACACAGCCAGACCCACCCAAGCAGATATGCCAAGATGCTTTGTTTACCTTGCTGTGTCACGGGAGTGCAGAAGGTAGTGAAAACACGGAATGGAGTTTAATCTATATGGACTCTGAACTGAGCCAAGTGGAATGGATTTGAGGAAGCAGCAGTGTGGAATTTATTTTATTAGGGCATTCCTCAAGTGGAATGGATTTGACTGATGGCGCTCTAAAAAGTGAACAGACATATCTTGAATTATATGTTGAATTTGAGACGTTAAAAGTGAGTGGGTCCAATATCATTGGTCTTAAAAAGTGGGAACCATACAATGGTTCTGACGCCCATGGTTTTAAGGCTTGTCAGTTTAAACATTAAAATGATTTTAAGCTATTCAAGCTCAAGGTGGTGCGAAAGAGATCTCAATGCGGTACTCACGCACTGTCATAGATCGTCTCTGTGCGCACACACCTGAAGTATCCACACAAGGAAGCCGTCTCTCAGACAGCACGCAAATACCAAATTGAGTTCTCTTTCTCGTTTTAAGCAAATAGGCACAAAATGATGTTTGAATGGCGAGTATCTTGACGAGTATCAACGTAAAAACAGTTGGTTACGTCTTAAGTGAACGCAGCGTCGGCGCCACGGGGGGGCCTGAGGGTGCCCCCTCACCTCTGGTGCCGTCTCCGTAGTTATAACATCAATTACTAGGCCTACATTCTTTTTTTCAGAAATGGAAGTAACTCAAAATGTTGTGTGTTTGTAATTTTTATATTTTTATCTATAGGCCTATACAGCAAAACTACAGAGCTTCCAGTAGGTTATTTTATGGAGCTGTAAACATGGGAATCTCCGACCGCATGCAATCTTTGACGAACACCCAATTCATATATTAAACTAGGCTACATGTTATTCAATTGTACATAGGCAATATATCAGATTATTTTATTTACAAGTTTCATGTTTGTGTTTATCCCATTTTTTGAAATGGGATAAATTCAAATAAATTTGATTCAGATGGGATCAAATTTTGATTCCATCTGAAAATTACTTTCAGAAACATTTTTTTTTTTCAAAAACGCAGAGTTAGTGCATCAGAGAAAACGAAGAAGAAGAGCTGCAGTGCTGTAGCTTAAAATTTTCGACATGTCTAGAACAATTCTTACAAGTATAACATGATGTAGCTGGGCGCCGCGGACAGACGCCGAACGGCACCGCCGGTGTGCCTTTCGAACCACCAAGCATGAGAGCATGTTCTACTACACCCCCAAAACAAAATCAAGACTTTGTAAAAGAGCATAATAGGACCCCTTTAATATAATGGACCCGTGCATTTCTTATGTTAATAATGTTAACAAAAGAAAATAGAGAATCACTCACTGCTCTTAACTAAGCAACTTCTGTAGTTTTAATGGATATTTGTGTACATTTACTTCATATAATAATAGCCACCATATTAAAGGAATAGTTTACCAAGAAATGAATATTCTGTCATTTACTCACCCTCATGTCTTTCCTGTGGATCACATGAGGAAATTTTGAAAATGTCCTTTTTTAAAGTGTTTTTATACAACTTTTGCGTTCCACAAAAGAAACGTTTTGTTTCTTTTGATTTTTATTTGATTTTGATTTTTTTAGGTGAACTACCCCTTTAAGTGTTCCGATATATCACATTAATTTTTCTAAGCGCAGCACATGTAAGATATACAAAACTAACTTTATGCTTAAAATCTGTTAAAGACCTATAGCTGTTGCTAACATATTCATTTATATCAGTACACAGTATGTATTTAATTGTGATCACCAAGTTTCCACAAGGCTCCCATTACAATCCAGTTAGCCACATATGAAGGTCACTGGCTGTACACATAAGACCTGTTGAACAATCATTTAGAGCCTCTTAATCACTTCCAAATTGAACAGTCACTTACAGCTCTATTTTAGTAAACGCAGTGTGCTTTTTACATGCTAATGGTTGGCCACATGCAGCATGCATGCCTCCAGCCACAGACACCTACAAACATTCTTTCTGGCTGTGTTCGAAATCTCTGACTAAACGAGCTTTCAACTGAACGAGCTATTAAAATGGACCAACGAGCAGCACCGGCTCACTGCCCAGCCAGTAGCACTTTGTATGGTAAGTAGCCTCCTGTTTCCTGCCTGCGCTTCAGCCAATAGATTTTTTTTGTGTTTCAAACCTTTATTTAATCTGAGCTGCTTCTACTCTGAGGCTGAGGCTCTCACACAGATGGAGGGATAATTGAAAAAGAGCTGCCATATTGTAGAGAACCTGGGGCAATCTGGGGTTAAGAGAGGGTATCGCAGAAGTGGGCAGAAATTTTTTTTTTTTTTTTAGGCAGTTACATAATAGCAGAATAGCAGGCGCCAAGCCACTGACAAAAATATGCAAATTAAATAGTTCTTGCTGATATTGGAATATATTTTAATTAAAATTGATGTGTGTGTGGGTAAGGGGTTGGGGTTTTGAAAATGTGCCCATAAAAAACTGACTTGTGAGGACATATGAAGTGGTTCTTATTATATGAAACAAGCAAAATCATGTTTTGGTTTCCATCTACTAATGTCAACTAGTTCCTTTGAGTGTTACGTTTAGGGTATTGTTAATATAATTATCTTAATATGAAAATTATTGAATCTGTGAGAGGTCTTCACTTATGCAGCTTTAAAAGTCTGTGTGTGTAAAGGTACAGGTTTGAAAATATAGTAAAACACGTCAAAAACCAAGATGTGAAGGCATTTTAAGTGGTCACAATCACAAACACCTAAAAAAATGTTTGCTTTAGATCTCATAATGCAACAGGTTTAAGGGAGGGTTAAATTTAGGTGTAATGTATAGTAAATACCATTGCTGTTGTATGAAAACCATTTGGTCTGTGAGGGGTTCTTAGAATTATAGCTTTAGATGTCTGTGTGTGTGTGTGTGTGTGTGTGTGTGTGTGTACGTCAAGAACACTCTAAATTACTCAAATAGTATCATCCAAAATAATAAGCTACATCTAATTACACTAATAAAGAGAAAGAAACATTAGTAAAATTTAACGCACAACAAAAATTTCCCAAACAACATTGTGACACGCATGACTTCCTAACAAAGGTAAAACAGCACCTCTCTGTGGACACACGAATGTTGATCCATCAAATTTCATAACGTGGATGTTTCTTGAATAATTCTGTGCGAGATTTGTTTTAATATCTACAGTGTAGAGTACAAATATATTTCGGTTTTGTGTCCACAGCTTATATGGCACATATTGAGTACTGATATAGACAGCAAAATTCCCGCATCTATAGTTTCTTGGTGTGTGTGTGTGAGTCTGAGGCAGCAGTTCACAAACACTGGTCCCATGGGCGCCTGTCGCCATGCACCGCTTCTCGCGTCTTAAAAAAAAAGATTACTGTGTTTTACTAGTACTAGTTAAGCGCGTGCAGTGCACAACTAGTAGTTGTCAGCTGCAGTGCGGCATCGCTTGTCCATTTTTAAGAATAATATTACGTGCTGTGTATTAATATTTCATCAGCGCACAGTCAAATGCTTAAAGAGCCAGACGAACCTGAAACTAACCTGGTTAAAATCCCATAAAGAGTTTCGGATATATAAACTTGGATGCGCGTGGAAGAGTCGCGCGCAATTAATAGAAATGTAACCTACTTTCAGCATCATGCATCTGCTTGAACTACACCAAAAAGCGCAATTATATAATTTAAAATGTTGGTCTTACCTCGCCGGAACATCCTGAAGGTGCGGTGATGACTATCATATTGTGCTACCGGCATCTTATTCATGTGGTTTGAGGCTTTTTTTTTGTAATGCCCATACCTACCCTTACCCTAAACTTACCCTTGCAATGCAAATATATTTTTGGTAGCACAATCTGATAGGTAGCATGTTTCGTCGGTACACCTTTTAGAAAAAAGGCACAGCAAACACAAGATCTGAGGTTACCTTAACTTTGTCTTTATTGTCTTATATATACAGGGATATATATATATAGGCATAGGGGTGGTGTACCCCTTTCAACCAATAGAATATGGATTACATTGTGTTATATAAGCCAAGAATATGTGTTATATAAAATAGGAGTATGATCAAGAAGTTCTGGACATATTAGGAATACATTTGGCAGAGGGGTACCTCAACTCTTGAGCAAAGGACAGATTGAACCCAGTAACCTGGGTCTGATGGGGCCCCAGTGCCGATCCTAGACTTCTGGGGGCCCTACGCAAAACTGTGTTGGCGGATGGGGGTGCGACTTTCAGCATCATGCATCTGCTTGAACTACACCAAAAAGCGCAATTATATAATTTAAAATGTTGGTCTTACCTCGCCGGAACATCCTGAAGGTGCGGTGATGATGCGCTGTACTTTATCCCACTGTGATAGTCAAAATAAGTGTCTCATCTTTAATAATCCGTGTAATACGTGATAAAAGTTTGATCTGTTTTAATGATCTGCAAACGATCCACGCCAAATGCAAATTCTTAACTCTTGACCCCTGGTCTCAGGTATCGATTAAGATGGAAAACAACATCGCCGACATGGAAGTCTCACAATCCCCGGTCATTTTTTAAAAGAGAGATGACTCCGAGAGATGTCAGCCAAAAATGTTTCATATACGCTTCAGGTAGCACGTATAACTGCCGCAAGAACCTTTCAGATAGCCATAACAAGAGCATTTAAAGTTTTACAATATCAGTCGATGTGACGGCAAAGAAGCTTTGTGGCATTGTATACCACTTAAACGATGAGTCCAATGACTGTTCTGGTTAGAAACTGCGTTTGGATGCCAGAGATGCTCGGGTGGTTAACGGATGACAGGCGCCCGTGTCTCTTCAGGAGTCGGAAAACTGGAACACCACGGGTCGACTCGAGGGAGGTGTAGAGGAGGGTATTTGCGATGCCCAATTCGTGAAAGAACTATTCTTTTGATTCGGATCTTTTCAATGAATCAGTTGAATGGCTCACGAGCTCTCGAGCGGTTCTTGAACCGAGAACCTTTCGTAAAGAGTTGAAACCCCAAAAGTGACAGCAATAGCGAGAAGTACTTAATTTAAATAGTCATATGCATGTTTGTGACTTAAGGTGTGACAGTTTGATCATAATGAATAAGAGTTGGTTTTGATATAGAAAATTAAACCAATCCCGTTCTCTCCCCCAAAGTGTAAAACGACCGGTGTTATGACGATTTGTGCTACCCGCTCAGATTGTGCTACCTCCCATTAAAAAGATAGGTAGCACAAATCGATAGCAAAAAATGCTACCTATCATATTGTGCTACCGGCATCTTATTCATGTGGTTTGAGGCTTTTTTTTTGTAATGCCCATACCTACCCTTACCCTAAACTTACCCTTGCAATGCAAATATATTTTTGGTAGCACAATCTGATAGGTAGCATGTTTCGGGTATGAGTGGTTATGAACGAATGAATGAAACGCATTTGTCCGTGTTTCACTCCATCGCTAATCGCACTCACGGAAAGCGCTTGAGAAACAGTGTCTCTTCCGCGGCTCGGTACGCTTTCAACTCGTCTCGAGCAAGACTGTATAACATTCACATTACATGATTTGACTGATTTTTACGTAGAAAGGGCGACAGCGCACCACATTAAAAGAAATTATCATTCCTGTTTTCATAACTGCTGGCCAAATTCAAATACGAAACTAAAATTAAATCATCATTGAGAGCAAGGGGGCCCCCTGGTGTTTCGGGGGCCTTACGCAGCTTGCATATTTTGCGTATAGGGAGGATCGGCTCTGTGGGGCCCCCATCATCTTTCACCATTTGAACCCAAGAAGATATTTACTTATATATGCGTGTATTAACCTACTGTAAGATAGCGAGAGACAAAGCTACTGAGAGTAGAGAGAGAACATAGAAGGGAGGAGGGAAAAGCACAAGGGGAGAGAAAGGGAGGGTAGGAGAGGAAGAGAGAGCACACACACACACACCCACACACACGCACAGGCCAACTTAAGGAAACATCTGACAGAGAGTGTAAAATATTCTAAAACTACCATTTCATTAGAAAGTGCAAAATCTGTTCAAATGAATTTTAGTACTTTTTTATTAGCTAAATCATGATTAAACTGAACTGGGAGACAGTGAATTACAATAAACACCATAATTAATCAAACTTAATAAAAAAGCATAATAAACAGCAATGCGTACCCACATATGGCTTTCTTGGTATGTTTTATAGCAGGAAATATGCCACGAGGGGATGACACGGAGCACGTGATGAAGCAATAACGCTGTGACATATTTAAAGAATCTCTGAATTGTTTCTTTTGAACCGTTCTTTAAAAAGAACAGTTCGAGAGAACCGATTAGCAGAATTGAGTCATGATCACTACAGGCTAGTACCAAATGAAAGATGGAGTGAGACCCTCTCCATCTCACTTTAATTCTAAAAATGTTTCCATCCTGCTTTCTCTTAAGACAGACCCGCAGCTACGAGGAAATCTAATGTGTGTCTGTTCATCTCAAAGCCTGTCCAATGTTTTCTTTCAGAGCAGATGAAATACTAGCCTACCTGTCTGCGCTAGCTCCCTTGCCCTCTGACGACAGAAAGATATAAAGAGCGATCTTTCCCTGTTTTATGGCTTTTGTTTTCCAAGAGGAAAAAAATAGAAAGAAATAATATCCACTTAAGTTGTAATAGATATCATGAGTGTGGAGGGATTTTTTGTTTATAATTAGCTACTGATATATTCTTTAAAAAGAGCCTGCATTTTATGAAACGATTTTGAGTGTGTTTGATCGTGATGGTGGTACTGAGTCAAAAATAAAGCGTCAGTGTCTGGGTGATTAGAAATGACACTATAAAGCATACTACCCGGGAGGACATTTGAAACTGGTAAACTTCTGGAGAGTTCAAGGATCCAGTAAGGGAATGCATTAGTAATAAGTAATAAGTTCAAAACAACACTAATGTAGAGAAAACACGGACAATTTGACTCACGTACAGATGGCAGTAAATTACTCTTTTCAGTGTGTATTTGGATTAAAAGCACGAGTGTTTTATAATGAATGCCGGCTGAAGTTGTTTTAGATTATGCGCTGGTCAGTAGTTTAGTTATTCTGAATGGATCCGTATAGTAGCATTGTACAGTCAGGTTAAGGCAGCAGGTTTAGTGGTCTTTTGGCGTCTCCCTGTGGTCCTGTTTGGTATCGCAGCAACTGGTGCTCATTTATATTAAAAATGCTCTAAACAATTTTCTTTCTATCTTTCTTTCGGCATTATATGGATACATTGGTAATTATGAAAATGTATTTATATATGTATTTATTAATTTGTTTCTTTTATTTATGTGTGGGGGAGTCTGGCACTTCTTTTTTCCCACTTCAAGCACTGAAGTCATCCATGTCATGCATCCCAGTATTTAAAGGACACACAGAAAGAAAGAAAGATTTATTATATTATTAATATCTAATTAGTATTGGTAAATAAAATGCATTTATAGTGTATCATGATTAATATATTGTATTGTGTTTCGTTTTTAGGATATGTATTTCTCTGGCTGTACCCAATAAATCTGCCATGACAGCAACACTGGTCCTTCTTCACTGTGCCAAATGGCCACAGTAAAAAGCCGTAAATCTCTGTGTCTGTGTAAGGTGAGAGTGTTAACGTCCCTGTGTCCTGTATGTCTCTGTGTAGGGCAAAGGGGGTTAATGTCCCTATCCAGCGTCATCTGACACAAGCACCTGTCACATCAGGATCACACAATCCAGAAAGTAGTAGGATCAATCACAACGCTTTAATCCAGAGTAAAGAGGATAATGTTCCCCCTTTCCTCCCTCCCTCTCCCTCGGGGGACCTGGTATAGGATGGACACTGATAAATATAAATAGTTGTACCTCCCCGGTGGTGTCTTCCTTTCTCCATTTTGGTTTATCTCTAGCAGACAGAAAATTGAGGCTGCAGTTCAATCACATTGTACATCATAATACATTTAATTGGTTGATATATATATCATACAAAGAGTGAAAAATTGAAGGGGGTCTGAATACTTTCCGTACCCACTGTAAACATTACTTACACTACCAGAAAACAACAACAACAAAAAAACAATTCTATTTTATATTTTTACATTAACAATGTAATCAATATTTTGTTTATTAAAGCCAAGTACACTGATAAAAAATATAAGCAAGAATTAAAAAAATAAAGTAAATTCTATATTACTACTCAATTTAAGCTTGTAGAAATTAAAGTTTGAAATTATAAGTATATTTTACTTGGAATTGTTTGTTATGTTTACAAGGATTCTTTAAGTAAATATCAAAGTTATGATCCCGTTTTTCCCATCACGCACTGGGGCATGAATAATTAAAAAGGTTAAAATTTTCACAGTTTTCGAGTTGTATTTATACTGTTTTATGGTTGATTTTGTCGTTAGGTTTAGTAACTTACTGTTTTGTGATATCTGGAGTTAATTTTCTACTCAAAATGACCCATTTATACTCAAACACTATCCACTGATTGTTACCGTCGTTGTGTATGGTGTACCAAGTATTGAGGTCTCTGTGTTCATTTGAGTAATATTCATATTTAGTGGACATTTTATCTACAAAGGATAATAAGCTGCCTATTTGCTTACTTACATGTTTGAAAGTGTACCACATGCTTTATTAGCATGGTTGTTATCCAGTGCTACATTGTTTGAGGAAATTTTATAAACTGTAATTGAGGGAAATGTACTTGAGTATTGCATATTAAACAAAATAATTAAATAGAAATTACTCATCAAACTCTAACTGGCCATGTTAAATGTACTTATTTCCTTTGCTAATTTTACCTAACGTAGTTAAGTAGATTTTCCTTAATTCAATACTTAAGTGCAAAAACTTGCAAAATAAAAATTAAGTAAATCTACTTATTGTTTTTTTCAGTGTATGAATCTCAAGTTAGTGTTTTTAAGCATTTTACATTTATTCCAAAATAATAACTGAAGGCAGTAACAATTTAAACAATATTTTATTTGTGAACTTATGTTCAGCTATTCTTTTTAATAGTTAACTTTTAACTATTTTTGAATTATTTGGTTCATCGAGCATCAAAGCTCAGTAAATATTGGTCACAGACACAGAGATTTACTTTAAATTTTACCAAGCAGATTACTCACTAAAAACTCCCACAGATCATGTTTTCAGGCCATTTTAAGTCTCATTTTGATGTAACAAAGTGATTATATATCTAAGTGTGTGAGTTGTTTACTTGCTTTTTTAAAGTAAGTAAACAACTTAATGACATATATGACAATATTGTTCATTCAGACTGATTTGCGAATGCGGAACGCGCATGAACACAAGAGGGGGGGGATTTTTGCATGAACCAATCACAGCCTAACATAACCAGTCAGATCCAATCATATCACGATGGAGGCATTGTCTCCTCTCACGTGATTTCCCCCCATTCATTCTCAATTACCCCCCACCAAACTCACGTCATGCTTTAGAGGGCCTGTTAAAACACAATGGGCTCAGGGGAGGCGAGAGAGACGCGGACTCCCGCTGTTACCTTACCTGCTAATGTCGCTGTTGGACAATGTTTCTTTAGAAAAACGAGTGATTTATACACTTTTTAATGTTATATTTTGTAATATTGGCGTTGTTTTATTTTTGTACTAATTTTTTCTTATCCAATATTTTGATATAACATCATGGTAATTTATAGTCCTTCATTGGAAAACAGACACTCGAATTACAAGCATGTGACATGCATGAAAAGACAAAACAGCATAGTATGGCGTCAAAAGTGGGACAAAACAGCGCAAGCGCATGAACAGCGCGCAAGCGAATTACAGTACTGTGCGCACAGTGACACAGCTCGCACGTAAAATGTAAACCTAAAGAA